TGGGTGCCGCCACGGCCACGCTGTGCTGCAGTCGCATCCGTACTACCCTCACTACTCGCATCATGATGTTGTCGCTGTCATCGCATCGTCGTCGTGTCCGCGCTGATCTGCTACACCTCTACGCTGTTGCCGGTCCTGTGCGTGTCGCCTCTGCCATGCGCATGTGCATGAGCCGCCATCGTCATGCCATTTATGGCACTGCGGCGTGCGGCCCACGCTGGTCGGACGCACGCAAACGTGGTCCATAGCGCCGCCACGTGGGCCTCTCATTCTCATCACTCGCGTCCCGCCAAGGCAAGGACGAGCTGAGAACACCTGTCGCGCCGTCTCTCTCTTTCCCTCTTCTCCCTCTGTTTTCCACCGCCATCGCGTTGTGTCACGGTGAACCCAGAGAGCGAGCACCTCTCATCAATTCCTTGTGCTTGCGTCTCCACCTTCATGTCCTTTCTCCGGATGACCCCACCCCGCCTTGACTCGCATCACGTCGAGCTCCAATTTTGGAGCTTTGCCCACCGCCGTGCCGTTAAGGCCCGTCACCGCCCACGCCATGGTCAGCCTCCACCACTTCACCCCACGCTAATTCCTCTGCACCACTAGCTCGTCTTGGCTCCCTCTTCATCGTGCGCACGCTAGTCGCAGCTCTAGTGCCGCCTCCTCGCCGTTGCGGCGGCCATGACTTTGTGGTCCACCGTTCACCTCGCAGCGCGCACGTGGCTAGCCCGCTCGGGTCATCTCCGGCTGAGCTGGCTTCTCGGTAAGCTCATTGGTGAGTTGTTATTGCTCACCCATTACCCCTACTGCCTTGTTGTTTCTGCGGCTCACCTGAACACCATCACCATTGCTGTAGGGTGCCCGCCGTCGTGGAGAGGTCCTTCTATGGCGTCCCGGCTCGTGCAACCGCCGCCCATCATCTCGCGTCGAACCCTAGGTGAGTGTCGGCCTCGTAGATAGGTCAGCGTGGGTCCCGTGTGGCGGTATAGCGCCTTGCCAGTTATCGCGCTCACCTTGGCCGAAAGCACGTGGGGAAGGCCGGGCCTTGCCGTTGTAAAGAGGAGAAAGGTCCGAGGGTTTCGTTGCAAAGTTGTTTGTCTATAGAAATAGTAATGTGGACTGTGGGTTGTTTTACTCGTAGTCTAGGGGCATTTTGCAAGAGTGCCAGCAGCACGGGCTTCCTCACCGTGGGCCGCCTCCAGCGCGTGGGTCGCGCCTGCTTTGTGGGACAGATGTGCCCTCGCTTCAAGACGTTGCCCTACCTAGGCCGCGTTGGGCCAAAAGTGGTTTACCTTTTTCGTGGAAAATAGAAATAGCTTTTCATTTGTATTTCTGAGTCGATCTTTGGTAAATCATATAAAATCATGTAGGTATCCAAAATTATGAAACAAATTTTGTTAAGTTCCTAAAATTGTATTCTATCTGTTAGTGTATTTATTTCATATATGTGCTTGTTGATACCAGGAGCTATTAAATCATTTGACAGTGTTTAATATTATTAGATTAAACATTGTAGGAATTTTTGTGGCAAAATGGTGGTAGCTTTAGCTTTAAAAATTTTATAGTAGCTTCATGGTATTATTATGTGCTCACTTTGTAATTTTTGTAGCCTTAGAATAGGCTAAGTACTAAGCGTAGTCGGTGCTCCTTCTTTGTAATATAAGTTAAATCGCTAATAAGAGTAAGATTACATTTTAGTTGCTAAGTTAATATCCGTTAGATGAATCCATACCTGTTTTTGTGGAAATGATAGTTAGCTTAGTATCTTAGTCATCAGAGCTATCTTAGTAGTTTACCATGTGTATTCTTATTTTAGGAGTCATTGTTGCTAAAATACTAAGTGTTGCATCATCATTGCATGCATGGAGAGAACGAGTTGGCGAGATCGTGACCATCGGAGACTACGAGTTTGAGGAGGTGATCGAGGAGTATGAGGAGGAGATCCTCATGCAGGAGGAGATCCTAGAGCCGCCACTGACTGACTGAGCTCACACCCCGCCTGCCCAAGGCAAGCCCCGGTGCATAACCCTTATTTTGAATAATCACTGAATATATATATCTGTGATGTGCATCTACGCTACAGGCATTTTATGGAAACCACCTACATAAATATATCTGTCCTAGGAGTCCTGTTAGTACAGGTGCGAGTAGCTGCTATGCTTAGGTTTTTCGGTAGCGTGAGTAACCTGTCGTTACTCATAATAGGTGATTATTATTATTACTCTCATGATATAATGGTGAAAGAAAATGCAGGCATCAAGGCGGGGATATGGTACGGGTATTGGTGGGGTGTAATAGGTTTGTGTCCGTGGCCAGCGGGCATAGCTTGGTTACACTGCTTTTCCACTGTCCGTGTCGGTTAAGGACCGACCGTTGCATTGGATTCTAGTCAGGTCACAGACTTATTATCTTGAGCACATACTTGCTTATGGGAGCGGGAAGGCTCGTTGCTCTCTTGTCGTGGGTTCCGGCTTTTTTCGGACCGACTGATTGGAGGCGGGAATGATGGAGGTCTAAGCACCACACTGAGTTTGGGACTCAGGTGTGGAGGCTTAGAGTCCAAGTTTGGATGGGGACTGGACCCCTTGGCCAGGGAGAGTGGTGAGTTGGTCCCGCTTGTGCTTAGGGTACAAGCAAGGCATGTGTTTTGGGGTACCCACTATGCTACATTGGTTCGTGAATCGCCGTATGTACTGATGCGACTTGTCTACGATCTAGCACCATAGTAAGAACTGAAAGATGAAAGATGGTGAAATGAATCTGATTGCTCAACTCTTGCTTGAAAGTAGAACAGGTACTTACATAGAATGGTTAGCTAATGAACTAATCATGACTGTTAATAAAACATACATAAGGATTCACTGCCATTAATGCTTTTTGCAAAAAGGAAACCCAGCAAACCATAAATCCTATCATATCCTTTGGAGTCGGGAAAGTATTCCCACTAGTCGGGTAAGTCTTGCGAGTACATTGTGTACTCAGGGTTTATTTACCCCTGTTGTAGGTGCAGCTTGAGGAATGGTTGTTGTGTGGAGGATTCTTCTGGTGGGCACAGATGGATCCTTGTATCTTATCGTTACATGTTTAATTTAATTCCGCTATTAAATTCCGCACTCTGAACTTGGTATTGTAATAATGTATTTCTAAGAACTCTTGTTGTATGAAATGGACTAAGTATTATAAACTCGTTCTCATTATTGGATCTGGAGGAAAACGTGGATTATTCGAGTTCTTCCTTGGGGTGTGCTCGACGGAACCGTTCGATGTAGCTAGCTTTCGGGGTGCTTAGTGTGCGTGGAAGGAAGGCAAGCGCCTCCCGGGGCGTGCTATTCGACGGTTTCGCCACAATTCCCAACTCCGAACCCTAACCTCTCATCTAACTCCCATGAGTGCAAGAAACACGCAACCCACCGCCTAGCACCTGATAGAGTTTGCGATAGGCATTGCATCATTGTTGTTAGATAAAAATTATATATGGTAGATCAAAATATTCATAACTTGTATTGGGTTCTACGAGGCAAGATGTTAATTGTTTGCACAAACTTACTGGATTAGTGGTCATTGATGGGGGAAGAGGTTGGAATACTAAGTGTTAGAGGCATAAGATGCCATAACTTATACAACATTCAGCCCAAATTCAAAATATCCTCGCTTCTTACTAAGAAAAGTAAAAGTGAATTTCTACATCATCTTTCTTATGTTTATTATTTTTCCATTCCCTATTCTTAAGACCTTGAGTGTCAACCACTTACTTTGTGCATGGTTGCGGACAAAAAGTCAAAAACATTCAAACTCTAGAGTCGGACAAAGGGCTTGGTCAGTTTTACTCAAGACGTCAAGGTGCAATGTGCCAAATATTCCCACCCAGAATTTTTGGGCACAGGCGGAGGCGAGTCCGGCGGTCAAGGCTCCCCCGGGTGCGAGCCCAACCATTGCCACCACCGCCGGGCCCGCGCGCCCGGTACTCACCCGTCCGATCCCCCTGCCCACCCGATCGGACGGCGGGGAGCAGAGCGAGCACCTGCGGGGGCTGCCCACCCAAGTGTAGTATGGTCTAGTAATGGGAATAGTCAGCTCTACTGCCTCCATGCTTTTTGTTTTCTTCTCTGGATTTTGTTGTCCGTGTACTGCCGAGGACAGCCGGACAGGAGCCTTCCACGCCGAACGGAAGCCGGACGCTCACAGTAGTCTTCGGCAGGAACGCTGAACGCGTCCCAGAATCAACTACTACTCCTACTGCTTAGGCAGACGGAGCAACGCGTCCGATCGACAATCATTAGGCTGGACCGCTGGAAGCTTCACTGATTTTCTCCTACGAGAACGGCGCGGCGTCCGCGCATAGGTAGAGAAGAGGACGGGACGAGCAAGTATTACCCCACACGGCGATCATTGCAACCCGCATTGCCGCTTGGGCCACAGCGGCGGAAACGATGGCCGCTTCTGTTTCTCTCTGCCTTGCCCTTCCCGCTGCGTGGCGTCTGGCGTGGGAGCGTGGCTCGGTAGGACGGGCAGGCTCCACAGGCTGGGCCGAACGCCCAATCCAACACACACAAAAGACACAATGGACGGGGCGTGCGGCCGTGACCACTGTGTCTCTAGTCTCACACAATGGACGGCGAGGTCCGAACGCCGCCCACCACCGAAATCCATCCGCCAGGTGCGGCCGTTTATATACCTACACGCCTCCGGCCCCTTGCACGTCTCCACTGCATCCCACCGCCACCTCGTCACAGCCGCTTCAACACACAACACCGCCGCACCGGACGCGAACCCACCGCACCGCAACGGCCGCCGCGCGCTACGAGCACCAGTCCACCACCGCCATGGCCGCCGCGCGCTACGACGTGGAGAAGGGCGGGAGGAACGGCGGGGAGGGGAAGCGCTACTCGCCGCCGCCGCCGGAGCACCACCTGTACCCGTAACCGTAGCAGCGGGATGGGGAGAGGGAGTGGGTGCCGTGGTTCGTGCCGCTCGTCGCCGCCGTCAACATCGTGCTGTTCGCCGTGGCGATGTACGTCAACAACTGCCCCGCCCACGCCACCGCCTCGTCTCGCCGCGGCGGCGGCGCCTGCGTCGCCCGCGGTTTCCTCCACCGCTTCTCCTTCCAGCCGCTCAGCGAGAACCCGCTCCTCGGGCCCTCGTCGGCCACGTAAGTGCTCGTCGAGCCCCTCTGATCGATCCGTTTCCTCCTGCCTTTCTTCAGTTCCAAATCTTCTCCATTCAATTATCAAATGTAGTAGTACTAGCTACAGACATAGATGAAGCAATGCTACATACAGATCGTAATGGATTCATATAGAGAAAAGATTACATCACCAACTCTGCTCTACTATCTCTGATTGGTTTGCCACTCAAGTACAAATTTACTTTGCCCAAAGTAAACGCAACTCGAAATTGTTTGGATCGATGGATGGACGATGAACAGTTTCTCACATTGATCAGAGCACCTTGTTTCCCGCAGGCTGCAGAAGCTGGGGGCACTTGTATGGGACAAAGTTGTGCAGGAGCACCAAGGATGGAGGCTCCTCACCTGCATCTGGCTGCATGCCGGTGTTGCCCACCTTCTAGCAAACATGATCAGCCTCGTGCTCATCGGACTCAGACTTGAGCAACAGTTTGGATACGGTATGCACAGCTGTAGGAACTTAACACCGCCCGGCTTGAGTAGAACTATGTCTGATCTGGATCTGCATTCCCGTTTCCTTACGGTGAGAATTGGCATCATCTACCTTGTTTCTGGCGTTGGAGGCAGCGTGCTCTCATCTCTGTTCATCAGGAACACCATCTCTGTCGGCGCTTCTGGAGCTCTGTTCGGACTCCTTGGTGCCATGCTGCCCGAGCTCTTCACCAACTGGACCATTTACTCAAACAAGGTGCAGATCTTCCCTCCTCGCATTGCGGTGCAAATCTTTCGGCAGAAAATGTGGTTTCCGGACTAAACTGCACTAGCTCACTCAAGTAATGTGATGTCCAATCTGCAGGCTGCAGCCCTGGTAACCCTCCTGGTCGTCATCGCCATCAACCTCGCCATCGGCATCCTCCCGCACGTCGACAACTTCGCGCACATTGGGGGATTCCTCACCGGCTTCCTCCTGGGGTTCGTCTTCCTGATGCGCCCGCGCTACGGGTGGATGCAGCGCTACGTCCTGCCCTCCGACGTCAAGTACACCACCAAGAAGTACCTGGCCTATCAGTGGGCTCTGCTGGCCGTGGCTTCGGTCCTCGCTGTCGTCGGGTAAGCATAAGCATCACATCACATGCTGGTGCCTCCTCTTTCTGAAACCTAACAAGCCAGTACTAGTACTCGCTCATATCTTAATGCGCCTGCTATGATGTTAATCTAATGCATTCTGTCAGCTTTCGTTTCACCACCACCCCAAAAGAAAAGAAAAAAAAAGTGTTCTGTCAGTTAGGTCGGTTTGACTGAATTTGAACTCATGTGTTGCGCAGGTTCGCCGTTGGGCTGGGGATGCTTTTCAGAGGAGTGGACGCGAATGACCACTGCGGGTGGTGCCACTACCTCAGCTGCGTTCCGACCTCCAGATGGAGCTGTGGGAAGTGAAGATTGGTGTGCGGAAACAATGGACTGAAGCCAGGAGAGAGCCCATGGCCCATGGAACCTTTTCTCGGGCAAGCATTTCCATGAATAGATAGATAGATAGATAGATATACAGCTCGCAAAGTCTTACTGTACATAATGTCGTCAGAACGTGACTCCCGGGGTTTATATATGACATTATTATGTTTATCTGACTGATCGATGATTCGTTCAATTTATTCAGTTAAAATTGAGATGCCTTCAATCTTTCACCTGTCAGCTATAGTATTTGCAAACTAGCTTGCAGTTGTATCGTTGTCTAATCTGTCAACCACAAACGATCTTCCCGATGATTATTGCGGTTCTTTCTTGTGCCCTGTTCGTTTGGCTTATAAATCGTACTTTTTCAGTCAACGAATATTATTTTTCTCTCACAATAAATCAGCCAACAGTATTTTCAGCCATGGCTTATCATCCAAGCGAACAGGACAATGATAAGTTACGATGTTTGGGGGTGTTCATTTAATTTCCACTTGATCTTGTTAGGCAGATATTTTTTGAAACCTCACCCAAGAAATATGAGAAGCCGATGAGATTATGTTTATGTGAATTCATCCTTGTAGTATAAAAGATAGCTTCTCCTCTCCGGAGCTTCTTTTGTACACAAAGTCGTTTCTTAAGAGAAGCTGGAGAAACCAAAACTGAAGCCCCTCAAAAAGACTTCACAAAGAAAGCCGAGTAAAGTCCACTGGTGGTCCTCGAACTTGTTCGGCCGTGTCATACCGGTCCCTACAACTCTTAGGTTTGGGAGATTTGAGAAATTCAAAGATCACGCGTTTCTACGATCATCAAAGAAATTAGAGAACTTAGTGCTTCTTTTCTTATTTTTTTCTCTAATGTATAATATTACATCATGTAATCATGTAGCCCATGCTCTAGCTAAGCAGATCTTAGATGGCAACAGGGTGGGTGAGTGGCAGTTAGCCCCAACCTGTATTGCTCATCTGCATACTGAAGATCGTGGCGATGCTACTTCCTGGTTAATCAAGTTTCTACGTCGCAAAAACAAGTCTTACTATACATAATGCCATCAGAATGTAACACCCGGGGTTTATATGTGACATTATTATGTTTATTTGATTGATTGATCGGACCGCCTCTAAGGACACATGCCCTCGTATGCATTACCACTGGATGTACATAGGGCATATGCCTTTAGAAGCCGAAACAACATTCACTTGATCAATGATTCATTATATTTATTCAATGAGTTAAAATTGAAATGTCTTGAATCTTTCACCTGTCAGCTATATTTGCAGTTGTATAGTTTTATTGTTGTCTACCTGTCAACCACAAAAGATCTTGCCAATGATTACTGTGGTTCTTGCACAACAAGTTACTATGGCCATGTTTAGATTGTAAAAAATTTCAACCCGATGAATAGTAGCACTTTCGTCTTATTTGGTAAATATTATCCAGTCGTGGATCAACTAAGCTCAAAAGATTCATCTCGTGATTTCCAACTAAACTGTACAATTAGTTATTTTTTTTACCTATATTTAATGCTCCATGCAGACGGCTAAAAATTGATGTGATGGAGAGAGAGTGAAAAAACTTGGAATTTGGAGGTGATCTAAACAAGGCCTATATTGGGGGCGTTCGTTTCCGCTATAGCTGTTACAGGTTCTCAACGCCCCTCGTGATGTTTAGCTAAGTCCACCCTCAATGAGACCCACGGGAGTATTACTAAGAACATAACATATAACAAAAAATTATAAAATTAGAGAGAAATAACACATAATTATCGATTTATCATCACTAATGATTTGGAAGTTCACAACAACTTAAAACTAATCTAGTACATACTATGTAGATAACATAGTCCATACAAATCATCCTAAGTATTACATAAGTTTGCACCAAATAGTTCTAGATTTCTAATTGGATGGGGGAATAAAAAAAACATATGTTTCAGGCCCCACCGGTCACCTACGGGTGAAACGTAACACTCGCACCCAACCTGCACACCATCGTGGCCCCGACCTGAGGACATCAATGGATCAATGTTGCGCCCGCACCCTAACGGATACAACACCCACGGGTGTGATTGTCATCCCTAGTTGCAGCCCCAAATCCATTTGCGCGGTCATTCACGAGATTCAAGCACGGCATGTCCGTGCGCGCCGACTCGTAACTAATTCCTTTTTCGTCCGGTTTCTTTTCTGTCCTTTTATTTACTCATTCTAAAGTATATTTCCCCGTCGCGTGCCATTGCTGTGCATTCAGCCATACGGGTCTATTTAGTGCATGCTGGTTGAATTTGTTGGGTGGCATGACTATACATGCACGGACGTTTCTTTTTTCTTTTTTTGTTTTTTTTCTTTCTACCATTTTTCTCTTTTTTGTTATATATTTATAAGTTATACTTTATAGTTATTTTCGTACATAATTTTCATATTTCTACTAATATATTATAATATTAATTTGTTATCTAAGTTCTTGTATATAACTTATACATCTGACTTTACATCTAAGTCATTCATTAAATTATATATCTAAGTTATACAAACAAGTCATAAATAAAAGTTTTGCATATATTTTTTTAGCTTTCTAAGAAATTATGTTGATAAGTTTGTTCTGTAAAATATTATACATAAAAGTTATGCGTATAACTTTATCACGTAGTAAGTCATATGTATAAGTTATGTGCGTAACTTTGTCACGTTGAAGGTATACGTTGAAGTCATGTGTATAAGTTATATGTATAAGTTATATGTTGAAGTTTGTTCCCCAAGTTATACGTAAAAGTTATGAGTATAACTTTGTAAATTTCCAAAAAGGGAAAGTTGCGGAAATATTTTTCCAAAAAAAAAAGTTGTTGGGCTGCTTTGATTTGCTAATCCCGCGCGCACAACCGAGCACGTGTAGAGAGAATGAGCATGCGCACAGCACCAACCAAATATAGAAAAGAGGTGGAATTATTTTTTCCAAAAAAAGGAAGCAGAGGCGTGTCTGAATTTTGTTCGCCAAATTCAATTGCAATGAACGTTCGTGAATTAGGCCCTGTTTGGTTGAGCTGTGGCTGTGGGAAAAAGCTGTTGTGGGCTGTGAGCTGTAGAAAAGCTGCTGTGGGCTGTGAGCTGTAGAAAAGCTGAAAGTTGTTTGGTTAAACAAGTATAAAATATACCTTTTATCTTTATCTCTCTTGAAACAACTATGGAAGAGCTTTTTATTCTACCAATTTCGAAAAGCAGAAAGCCAAAAGCCAAAAGCAAGGTCAAACCAGCTTTCAAAAATGAACTACGGAAAAGCAGCTGCTTCTGAAAAAGCACCCTCCAAAAACAGCCTTTTTGGTTGGGCTTTTGGCTTAGTCTCACTGAGTTGCGGCTGTGGCTGCAATACCCTCACTATGTTACCGTCCTAGCTGCAACCACACCTTTAGCAGAAGCAAACGGGCCATACTTAGACGTTGTTAGATAGATGTATTTTTAGCCTCACCCAAGAATTCTAAGAAGCCGATGAGCTTATGTTTACCTGAATTCATCCTTGTATAGTACCCAAAAAAATAGCTTCTGAGCTTCTTTCGTACACGAAGTCATTTCACAAGAGAAGCAGGAGAAGCCAATAAAGACCCTCAAAAAGACTTTCCAAACAAAGCCCCAATCCAATTAATAAAAAATAACCAGGTGTTAATCGCTTGATGTACGGAGGGGAAATTAATATATTTTTGCACGGGGAAATGAACCGCACCGAAGTTGAGAATACAAATTAATGCGATTTCAACAAAATGGGTTTTTTCAGAATTAGGACGTGCTTGTTTGAGGTGGTTCATGGGATGGGATGGAACAGGCTACAAAGGTGCAACTTCATGTCAGTTGCCATGCTTCAGCAGAGTCTAGCTCTCAGTTCAGGCTACACAGGGGATGCCGCGGCGGGGCGGTGCCGCAAGAAGGCGAGGTCCTGGAGTATCTCGTTCCTGAACTGCGTTGCGATGGGCCGATGGTCATCCATCTCAACAGAGAGGAAAGCCGAAAGCGGGTCGCCCGAGTGGATTGCGTAGGAGTTTCGGTACGTGGGCTATTGGGCCGAGAGAAAGGTCAGGCCATGCAGCGTGTTAGCAAAACCTTCAAATTGGGCTTGTCTGGTCAGAAACGGCCTCGGTCAGTGGCCGATAGCAGCGACAAGAAAATCTCGAATGCAGTCGTGCTCGGGCAGGGAGCTAGGCACCAGGACGGAGGGAAGCTCCGGCTACTGCTTCGCCATCGAGACAACTTGCCCTAATCGCGTGAACTTATGGGTCTGAGTTGTCACAATAAATCAGCGAACAGTATTTTTCAATCTGGCTTTTTAGCGAAGCGAACGGGGCCCGACCGTGTCGGTGTCCGTCGCAGTTCGCAGTCGCGAAGAGAACGGATCGTTGTTCTTTACTAGACGTCGAGGGTGATCGATTCATCACTGACACGTTCGCGAACTAGATATTCAGTGCGGACAAGATCAAGTGCTCAACAGATATCACCTGATAAATTCGCCGGAATTTAGCAAACAGGACGTTGCTCAGTTGCCTAATTTTCTTTGACGCGATTTATTTGTCTATCTAGATTCGAGTATTTAAATCCGCAATGATGCTTGCTTACCGTTCCTGAAAATTGTGGTAGTTTGGGTGCTAATCTTTTTGGCCATACTCTCAAAAGTCTTCTTGGCTGACGACATCACCGCTCTTCTTCGTGGCGGCCTGCAGCCCCTTGTCCTTGTTGATTTGGTCGCCCACTAAAGTGCAAAGCTGCCGGCTGCCATCATCCCGTTATTACACGCACGCATCACGTCAAAAGGAAAATTCCGAAACTCTCCTCGGTTCAGATACTCTCAACGGAGTCCCCTATCAATTATCATCAGTATCACTGATAAGAAAATGTTCACACAGATCCTTGAAATGATTTAAACTCTCAAAAACAGGCTGAGAAGGACTAGAAGGTAAATTCGCACCCCAAATGTAACAGACGACCCTGAACTGCATTGGGATTGAG